ATACTGTAACGTAATCACCCATCCAGCACCCCGAGGTGCCTGACATATGTTGAGAAAACAGAGTTGACATAGAGAAGCCAATGATCTTATTCAATGCTTCAAAGAGCTGTTTGCCCTATTCCTTCTCGTATTTCTCATGCTATTTTAATTGGCTTCAGGTTTACTAACAATTTGAATTTAAATGTCATTATTGTTGTCCTTTTTATTCTTGTAACCTCATTTAACACTACAACACTCAAGGAGCTCTGCATTCCTCCAACCCAGATACCCTGTACATCACAGCTCCTTTCCTCTTGCCAGTGATGATCCTATTTAGGCCTTCGGGTCAGAAATTTCCACTATAAACTTCTCCATCTATTTTTTATTCTTCAATATCCTACTTAAAATTGTAATCATGCTTTTAAATACCCTTGTGATACTTCCTTTTTTTTCTCAATGGGTTTTTTTTCACTCTTTAAAGTGCCTTGAGATGTCTTTCTACAGAAAGGAAGCTATATAAATGCAAATTGTTATTGTTCTAGTATGCCTCCAGTAAGACGATAGAGAACTAAATGTCCACTGACAGAGAGCAAACAAGGACTCAATGTTAAAGGAGTATTCATTAACTCCTTCAAGTAAATAATTAGACAAAGTGTTGAATGGTTAAAGCAATGTAAGAACAATCAAACAGTTCACATAGCTCAGTGGTTCCTGGGGGCACAGGCAAAGGAATAGAATTTCACCCTAATGCTCCTTAACAACATTGGGATAGAAATGAAAACGTGTTGAGTTTTGCTTGATTACCCCTGGAGATTGGGCAGCATTTATGTACAATTCTCCCTTCAGGGGATGAAAAGGATTTGGGAGAGTTCACAATAAAAGTGCATTGTGCACTAGTTTGAGAGCGGGAGACATGGAGTTGATTATTTTTATCCAAGCACTCTCGTGTTCTTATGCACAATATGCATCACTTATGAAGAGTCATAGCATAGAAACAGATCCTTCAGTCCAACTTGTCCACGCTGACCAGATACCCTAAACTGATCAAATCCATTTTGCTAGCATTTGGCCCATATCCCTCTAAACCAGTCTTATTCAGTCTTATTCCTTTTAAATGTTGTAATTGTACCAGCCTCCACCACTTTCTCTGGCAGCTCGTTCCATACACACACCACCTGCTGTTTGAAAAAGTTGTCCCTCAGGTTCCTTTTAAATCTTTCCGCTCTCACCTTAAGCCAATGCCCTTTAGTTTTAGACACCCCTATCTTGGGAAAAAGACCTTGGCTATTCAACAGGCTCACGACAGGCTCACTGGTCTGTAATTCCCTGGCTTTTCCTTACCACCTTTCTTAAATAATAGCACAGCATTAGCTACCCTTCAGTCTTCTGGCACCTCACCCATGGCTGTTGATGATACAAATATCTCAGCAAGGTGTCCAGCAATCTCTTCCCTAGCGTCCCACAAAGTTCTGGGATACATCTAATCAGATCCTGGGGATTTATTTACCTTTATGTGTTTTAAGACTTCCAGCACCTCCTGTTCTGTAATATGGACAGTTTTCAAGACATCACTGTTTACTTCTGAGGAAGTTCTGAGGAAGGGTCACCGGTCCCGAAACGTTAACTCTGTTTTCTCCTTCACAGATGCGGCCAGACCTGCTGAGCTTTTCCAGCAACTTCATTTTTGTTCACTATCTATTTCCCCAAGTTCCCTAGCTTCCATGTCCACAGTACATGCTGAAGCAAAATATTTGTTTAGTACTTCACCAATCTCCTGTACTTCCACACTTGGATGGCTTTGTTGATCTTTAAGGGACCCTCTTCTCTCCCTAGTTACTCTTTTGCCTTTAATGTATGTGTAAAATTTCTCTGGATTCTGCTTAACTGTATTTGCCAAAGCTGTTTCATGTCCCCTTTTTGCCCTCCTGATGTTCCTCTTAAGTATACTCCTCCTGCCCTTATTCTCCTGTAGGGGACCCATTTGATCCCAGCTGTCTATACCTGACCCATGCCTTCTTCTTTCTCATGACCAGAGCCTATTTTTCTAGTCATTCAGCATTTCCTAACCTACCAGCCTTGGCCTTCGCACCAACAAGAACCTACTGTTTCTGACCTCTCATGATCTCATTTTTGAAGGATTCCCACTTTCCTTTATTTGAGGACAGCCTCCTCCAATCAACTTTTAAAAGTTCTTGCCTAATACTGTCAAAACCGGCCTTCCTCCAATTTAGAACTCTGACTTTTAGATCCCGTCTATCCTTTTCCATTGCTATTTCAAAACTAATAAAATAATGATCACTGGCCCTAAAGTGCTCCCCCACTGACACTTCAGTCACCTGCCCTGCTTTATTTCCCAAGAGAAGGTCAAGTATTGCTCCTTCTCTGATAGGTGCATCCACGTACTGAATAAGAAAATTTTCTTTTACACACTTAACAAATTCCTCTCCATCGAAGTTCTTATAGTAGTCCCAGTTTATGTTTGGAAAGTTAATATCCACTTCCATTTTAACCTTATTATTCTTACAGATATCTTAGATCCCCTTACATATTTGCTTCTCAATTTCCTGCTGACTATTAGTCTCCATTTTTTTACCATATCATCATAAAAAAAACTTCATGGCTTGTAAAATGACTGTGACAAGCCAATACTGCCAATTAAAGCTGATGGATTGATATCATCTTGATTCCTCGAAAACTCAGTTTACAATAGAGATTTGCCACGCTTATGAACTAGGAATTGGAAAATGAAATTCCGAACATGTGAGGCAGGTAAGGCTGAGAAAAGGAGAATCTTGCCCTGAACATTTATGTTCGTGCTCTCAGCCGCTGCCCCAAGTGGCATCGGCAGAAATCTAGTCACCTCCCCATCCCGCTGGAACATCTGGAGAAACTAGAGAGAGATTTTTAAAAAACCCCTTTCAACGCGGTAAGGTCTTTGTGAACCCAAACAGTTAATCAGCATTGTTACTCTGAACAGCTGCTGGATGGGTTTGCAACTTTCAAAGGAAAAATCTTCTTCTAAAAAAAAACACAGACAAGTATATTTAAATCTGTTGTGGGTGGTAACAATAATGCCAATACAACAGCTGTGGGCAAGAACATCTTAAAATATAATCGCAGTAAAAGGTTTGAGCAGCCACAAGGCATAACATTGCATGAAAAATTTGTTTTGAAAAAGACAAGATCTAGATTTCTTACCCCCAACACTGCATGTTAATTTTGAGTGAAGACCAGAGGAAGAGAGTCACATGAGGAGAGATTCACCAGTGACATGCTCATTAGCATGTTCACTTAGCTGACATTTGCACTTGCTCCTATAATCATTTCACCTAATCCCTGTTGAGTCCCTCTCATCATCCGGAAGATCACTGGTTAGCTGCCTCTTTCACATATGGCATGCATATAATTATACTCATTCCATTTTGCAGTCCATAAATATGATGAGTTCCTGGCATGGTGCCACCAATTTCATCTGCACTATATAAGTGAGCCAGTATGCCACACAAAAGGGACACGGTACAGCCAGAATTCAGACGTAAAGTAGCTTCTGTAAGCTAGAAAGAAAAGCAATTTCTCCACAGAGATACATCTTGTAAACAATTATTCTGCACTAAAAAATAAATAAGTCATATACTTATCACTGTCAGCACTTATGTCTTAAATAATTATGCTGTCTTTATTCTTGCTACTCTGAGAGTTTGTCAGCCGCCAGTTTTGCTTCCTGATCAATCAGCCTGGAGATGGGGAGTTCGTGGGAGACAGATAGAAGGTATCTTTCATGTAAAAAACATGACAACGAACACTGGTTCTCTCCTCCCCCATCTCCCAGCCCAGAGAGGAAATGTCCCACTGTGGCAAAACTTGCTATTTAGCCTTGGCAAGAGCTCTTGAAACCCAGTGATGTGCGAACTCAGTAGTTCCTACTTCAATCAGTGAGTACTGATACACAAGTTACAATGTTGGACAAATCCCTTCCCAGAGGGTCTCACGGTCAGAATTGCTCAGAGTTTTTGCAACTGGTTACATTCCATCCAGTGGGAATTACATCTTCTGGTGCATTCATGAAAGTTTCACCAAAAGAAATTTAAACACCATAATATCCCAGAGCACATTCAGAAATAAATAGGAACAAAAATAAAATATTATTTAGTTATTGACATCAATCAAAGCATCCATGAGAGAAAGAGATTGAGAGAGAAAGAGAGAGAAAATGGATGTATATACTGCCACATCTCCCAAAGTCATTGACACAGGGTTGGACCAGGTAACTATTTGCCTTATGTCAGTTCTGGCATCTAATGTTAAGCAGGGATGGGCAAAATGAAGTAAGGTAAAGGCATCAAAACTAAATGATGTACAAGTCCCATTAAAAAGGCCAACTCAGTCTGAACAATTTCCCAATTAATTTCATTGACTGGACTTTGCAACGATTTAAAATTGATTGCTGAACTAAGGAGAGAAAATATTTTTTGTCAGTTACCTTTTTCAGTGTTCCATTCTCCTCCTGAAAAAACGTGACACTTAAATCGCTGATGCGTTCCACAGGGGTGAGCCACATTCTGGTCACTCTTGGGTGTCAGCCAAACTAAATGAACACTGGGGGCATTACAGCCAAAGCTGGTCCTGCCCCCATCTGTCTGCCATTTCTTATCAACAGAGGTCACTGAATACTGAGATCCTGGCTGACTCTAAGCTCATTCCAGCCCAGAATCTTGGCTGCACCTACCTCCAACTCAGCTGAATACAGCTACGCCAAAACAGGCCAGAGGGCAAATGTGAGATTTTGTGGTCACGTCACATCCAGTTACAAACCATGTGGTGCATTTGTTATCCCTCAGACTGGAGCCAATCACTTGCACTGAGAAGCAGATATTTAATTTTAAGCAGAGGCCAATATGGCCTAGATTTAAGAACATCCTCTACAATTTATTTCACATTAATGACTAAGTTAGCAAGTGCTTAGTCACATTTTTAAATACTTAAACTATTTCTATATTATCAAAGTGATCATTGAATATCACCTGTTGAACACGATGAGATGCAGGACTACTTTCAAATGGCCAACCTTCCGCAGTAAATGGCATACTCTGGCCGCATCACATGAAATGATATAAATACAAGGTAAAAATATAGAAACTTTATCAAACGTTCACAAATACAACATTCACTTGTAACTGTTAAAAATCAAGGAAAAACATCCCCAACGTCCCCAGTTCACAGCTGACTTGGAGCCTGTGTTTAGCTGAGTCCCACGTTCAATGAGTGAAAGCTGGAAATTCTGTCTATTCACATGCCTGGAAAAGCACTTACACTAATCCATTTCCTCATTTTGAAACATGTAAACAAATTCTTAACAAATTCAATATGGACCGTTTTCATTGTTGCAATTACATGTCGCACAGCACAGACAATTTGTAATAAAGGCTGTACCTCTTGATCTACACGTGTTCAGATTCAATTTATTTACTACAACTCAGGCCACAGTAGGTACTATAAAGGTGCTTACAACTTAGGAGACCTGTGCATAGAATGTTAAGGTACCTCAATAGTGAATCTAGTTCAACAGCCAAGGGCTTTTGGAATTCCATGGAAATGGGATACCACCAGCCTCGACAGAAGTCAACTCTAACTCTTAAATATGGGAGTAAATGCAAGGACTGTGGTTTGTCTGTTTGTAATACTCTCACATTTAACCTTTCATCATCTACTCAAAACTATTTTGTTTTTGGTTTAAAAACCTGCTATAAAATTGTCCATTTACCAAGCCCCAATAGACAGAATTGTTACCTTGAAAGCTGTGATGGGGAAATGGGAATCAAAGGGTTAAAAACACTTTTGGCCACTTCTGCTTCATTTTAACACATACTGGTTTTTCAGGTGTTAAGAGAAATACAAAACAATAAACAATCATTTACTAAGTGGAAAAAAAAAGCAAAAAAGGTACATGATGTGCGTTATTCTGGCTTATGGTCAGCATTGCATTTTTATATGCCATTTTAAAACGTCTTTTTATTTTATACTTCATCTCTCCAACTTTTCACCTTACACTCACTTCTGTCGGTGAGAGTGGGACAGGCTTGACCTATTGCAGTTAAAGAAATTCTGGTAGCATTATATTATTTGGGTGTACGTGATGCTCTTACAAGTAATGTTCTGCTTCAATCTATTTCAAGGCTGCTCAGTCAGTGGCCTGAAGAAAAACCATGAAAACCCTAATGCTGAAAGCTAAGGGATCCATGCTGTAAATCTGGAAATGTGCTGAATTTCGTAGGAAATGGTTTTCAGACTACATGCAAATTACACGGTTACGTTGACAAGAAATGGTTATTGTGAAATTAATAATGAATAAACGCAGTGTGCACAGTTATAACCAGCAGCACTAATCCCATGCACACAGGCATACTAATTTTAATAGTAACTGAGTACAATGTACTGTTGCCTGACTTTTATCCAGCCTCAAAAAAGTGGTGGAGGTCACCAGTGATCAATAGCCTGCACTGTTCACTTTAAAAATAAAATCTGAAGTGAGAGGAGTATGAATCCAGTGGATAACTTTCTGCACAGCAGGAAAAGGAGAACACTATGACTTTGAAACTCTCTGCTCAATAAAGTTACCGGTGCCTGGGCGAGGTAGTTGTTTATTGGTAATATCACTGGATTAGGAATCCAGATTCTCAGCCACTTCCCCAGGCACATGGGTTTTAATTCCAATGCAGCAGTTTGTGAAACTTGAATTCAATAATAGGGAAAAACCCCAGAATTAAAAGCTAATGGCTATTGTTGTGAAAATCCATCTGGTTTTCTAATGCCGTATAGGGGAAGAAATTTGCTCTCCTTTACCCGGTCCTTTATACAGCCACAGTAATGCGGCTACCTGGAGAGACACTCAGTTCAAAGGCCCATTAGGGATGGGCAACAGATACTGGCCTTGCTGGTGACCCCCATGTCTCATTCAAAAGTAAAAATAAAAGAGGGTCAGGCACAGAGTCTGATATAGAATTTGGAACAACCGAGAACATGAGACAGAAACACACAAAGTGCCTTTTGCACATTTTAGTCTCAGGTTCTAAAAAAAACTTTAAGAAAGGGCCATGTCTATTGACACATAAGTGCATTATGCACTGCTTAAATTTGTGCATTTAAATGGGTGCTGCTATGTATGGGGGAGTGGGTGGGAAATGTGTCTGTGAACAGGGCAAAGGGGGCAGCTGTGAAGGGGGAAATTCGCTCCCAACCATGTCCCCATTCCCCTCTGGCCCTCACTCCCAATCTGTCCGTATCCCCACCAAACCACACCTGCCCTTCAACCATGACAAAGTTGCATTTTTGAAATTGTGCACATGCACAGTTGCAAGTGACACTGGTTGCCAGCAAACACTGATGTCTACATCTGACTTTCCCCAGCCATCCTCCAATTTCAGGACATCCCACTTGTATAAGATAGGGCAGGAATTGAGTGCAATTGTGAGATCAAGTAAGAAAGAAGAGGATGCAAAGAGGAAAATACACAGACAGACAGGGGAAAAGTCAGAGAGGAAAGAAAAAGAGACACAGGCAGGCACACAAAGAGAGTGACCCGTGCATTTACAAGAAGATAGTGACACAGATATAGAGAGCAGAATGGAAAGAAAAAAAAGTAACATAGAACACACACACAACTGCACCCAGGTTCATGAGTGCAGAAAAAAATGAAAGTAGAAGACACATGTCAGTGGTGGGGGAGGCGAGGAAGAGAGACGGACAGCAAAAAGAGACACAGAAAGTGATAGACACACATACTGACAGGAGTGGGAGGGACATGGTAAGTAGGGAACAACAGGCTCAAGACAGAAGAAGGCTGAGAGAGGACGGACTGACGGACAACACAGAATCACTGTTACAATCATTGTCTTCAAAACCAAATACAAGAATGGTCCTGAGTGGGAAGAACAATGGAACAATAACTAATCAAGTGACATCACAGGTTCGCTAATGTCTCTAAGATGTGATGCAGCTTTTAGTGTTGGATTAAATAGCTGGATTTTAAAATGATCAATTAGCACTTCATAATATCATCCAATGTTCTGGTATATATATCAGGGTAAGCATGTCAGGGTACATATTTGAAGTTTGAGCAGCTTCGGCTCAGGGCTTATGAGCTGAACACTGAATGACAGACACTGCGATGTATCTCGGGTGGGGATGGTTATCTGAATTGTTTGTACCAGGGGGCAGCCACATCTCTTAGAACATGGTGTTCTGATATGGCCAGTGGCCAGTAACAGGAGAGCATGATTGCAAGCGAGGCAGTTAAGGGGACCCAGAGAACAGGAGCCAACAAGTTTGAGGTTCTTGAAGCATGTTTGGATGAGGGTGGGTGCTGTGGGATGGATAAGCTAAATGACCATGGCACTGTGGTACAGGAAACCATCCAAATTCATGGGACACTGGCACCAATACTGGGGAAAGCATGATCGTACCAGTGAGTCAGTCTACACCTGAGCCATACCCTAGTCTAGTGTTCTTGTGAACCACATAACTTGGGAAGCAGAGCAGGTTTTAAACTTAATAGTGGGGCAAGGGCCTACATTTGGAAAGTTGTGGTGAATCAAAGAGGAATGCAACAGGGGAAGAAATTAATATGGAAAATGATAAAAAGACAAAGACAGGAAGGGACCAAGTATACAAATCCATGAGCAGATCACCAGATATGATTACAGATTACAAAAATAATAAAGGACAACACTTGAGGCATTTGAAACAAAACAGATATAGTACAAATTGAGGTAAATAAATATGATCTAGTGATCATTACTGAGATGTTGCTGCAGGATGACTTGAATTGGCACTTGAATATTTAAGACTACGTAACATTTAGGAAGGACAAGTGACTATGAAAGGGTGGATGAGTAGTTCTGTTAATTATAAATAAAAGTGGCAATAGAGAGGAATGATCAAAATTCAGGAAACAAGGATATAGAACAGGCTGTGTAGAGATGGGGAATTAAAAAAACATAGAGATAACCTGAGCGAGTTATGCATAAGCCCGCTAACAGTAACTATATGGTAGGACAAGGTATCAAAGAGGAAATAATGGGACTTTGTCAAAAGGGCACAGCAATTATCATGGAGTATTTTAAACCACATTTGTAATAAAAAAAAACAGATTGGAAAAGAATTGTTTGGATGAGGAAATCATTGAAGGTTTTCAGGACAATTTATCAATCAGCAATGTTATGGCAGCCACCAGAGGTTTAGGTTATACTCGGGATTGTTTTAACCAACAAGATGGAATTAATTACTGACCTCATAATGGCGGTGCCCCTAGGTAATAGCAGCCATAGTATGGCTGAATTTTACAGACAGTTTATGGGAGAGAAGCATGTGTCAAAGACTACTATTCTAAATTTAAACAAAGGCAATTATGGGGGGCAGGAAAGCAGAGCTAGTGAATTCAGGGTTCAGTGATAGGTCAATAGAGATGAAGTAAAAAATATTGAAGAGGATATTCCAGAAAGTACAGAATAGATACATTCTGACAAATAAGAAAAGTTCAAAGGGGCACGCAATCTATTGTTAGCTACAAAAATCAAAGATAGTATCAAACTCAAAGAAAAGACATGTAATTGTATAAAGATAAGTGGTAGGTCAGAGGATTGAACAGAATATGGAACACAGCAAAGAATTACAACAAGATTAATAAGGAGGAACAAATTAGAGTACGAGAGAAAGTTAGCCAAAAATATAAAACAGGTAGGAAATGTTCCTTCCTGTATCTAAAAAAAAGTGTTAGCAATATAAATATGGGTCCTTATGAAAATTAATGTGGGGAATTAGTAATAGGGAATAAAGAGAAGGAGACAAATTGAAAATGTGTTTTGAATTGGTCTTCCCCCGAAAGGATACAAATAGTGTCCTGGAAATAGTTATAAATCAGGAATTGAAAGGGAGGGAGGAACTCAAGAAAGTTACAATTAGTGGGAAGTAATACTGAGTAAATTGTTGTAATTCAGAGTTGACAAGTCCCGGATCCTGATGGATTTCATGCTGGACTCTTAAAAGAAGTAGTGACATAGTTAATGCATTGATTTTAATTTTCCAAACCTCA